TCGATTTCCGACTTTTTCGCGTCCAGTGGGGTCTTGGAATATTTGTCGATTTCGGGGATGGGAGGAGGACCTGGCAAGACTTTTGAAGCTTCCATTCGTTCGCACTTCATCGCTGAAAGACTTCGTGAGAAGACCGATTCAGCTAAATTAATTAGCGAGATGATAGGATCGAATGGAAAGACTTTGTAATGGAAATAATACGTTGGCAAAATAATAAGTAATGTAGATTCAAATTAGCATGCTCGGCGTCACTTCGGTTTAGGTGAAAGAGTTACCTAATGGAAAAATCATATTACTCTATTAACGTTTCAAATACTATTTAAATTTTTCAAAAAATTTCGTCGTCGAATGTTGTTTTAGTCACGGTGACTTTAACTGTGCGACTCGGTAGTACGTACCCAGATATCTGCCATAAACAAATATAACGGCAGCGTTAACAAAGCCATGGTTTGGCAAATACCTATTAAACGGTGCCACCATTACGAGACAGAGTAGCGATAACGGTTGTTCAAAAACTGGTAATCCGACTAATAAACAGACCACAGTCTATGGTCGATTAATAAAATAAAACGCTTTCTGATTCGATTCACAGGAAAGTAAAATAATACTCCCGGAAACCAAGCGAACAACACATGGAGGTAGTGACTTGCGAATACAAATGGAGCGGTGGCGTCCAATTCAAGACGAAGGGATTAATGAACAAATACAAATGACCAGCTTGTAGGGTATAATTTAATTACATGAATTCGGACACATTGAATTACAGTCATATCTAGAGGATTCATGACTGAAATCATATTGTTAAGAAAAAGGGAGTTTGAGGAAATTCAGGCGACACGCCCAAGGGTAATGTAACTCGACCTACCAATTAGAGTGATTGGGCAACCACGTTCAAGTCCGCAAATTGTAGTCCATTTTCCAGTCCCTTTCTAAAATCAGACAAATTAGACATAGTCCCTTAAAAAACACATTCGAATGACGATTTTTGTTGAAACAGGGACAAGACAACAAATGGACTTAGTTTAGGCATCAAGCCTCATGAAACGGCAATACTCTATCACAAACGAAACCACCACGCATGCCAAAATCGGGATTTTAAAGATGAGTGGAAACCAAAAGCAAAATGGCAATTGGAGTCGTTTCCACAGAGTCCGTATGACCAGCTACGAACACTATGATGGCGCATCATGTAAAAATGTCAGCAATTTAGGAGATTCGAAATAATCAAAATCATAGATACAAAGGTATCAATTTTTAAAATATTGACCGTTCTTGTCTAAATAACACAGATCACGTAAATAATCAAAGGCTCTTTAAGTGTTAGTATAATAAAGTGACCCAATTTTGTCCTAACGTTAGGTTTGGTATGAGGTGCACTTACATCGTTACGACACCAGTAACTGAATGTGTTGACAAGTGTAGCGAATCGTATTGATTCGGTTGCATACGAAAACCCTTCAAATACGTGATCAGATGCATTTACCCACAATGAAATTTGATGAACAGTCTGCCATTGCATGCAGTTATTAAAGCATGGCGCCTAGGATTCTGCATTACGATGCAATGCACGATGTTTAGGTGATTTGAAAAATGTCAAGTCCATACACAACTTGGTAGCCCAATAAACAATGACTGAACAGTAAGATTCTGAAGACGAATATAAGCGCAACGAATAAATGAAGGCTAAAAAGAATATTCCAAACACTGAATTAAACAGTTCATATGTCGATGAATCAAAGCAAATGCTAAAGGAATAAACAGAGAAACTTTGGAGAGCCTGGCATGTTGGATTAAAAAATAGGACACAGGCCATTAACGAATAAGACGTATCACCTGCCCAGAAACATCACGGATCTTCTCAACAAGGGGAGTTCCGGAACCGTCGTCAAATGCCAAGATGTCTCTAGTTATTTCAATAAGGTAGGACTCAAGTTCCCCTTTGTTCCATTCATCGAAAACCTGAAACGACAATAGAAGCAATAGGCTAAACAAAATAGGCAATTTGGTGAGCAGTAAAACCGTTTTTATCAGTGGTACGGAGAAAGAAGAGTTAGTAAAAGAATTCAAATTCTTCCACCACCCTAATTTGTACGGTCAGTAATAGGTAAAGCCAGAAAAAGACAAATGGTTCGTTCCTTGATATGACGTGGCCCCGATCGTTGATTAATCTACGACAGACGCTATCACCATCGTAACTTGGCGTAATTTGCTCGACAGAGGAAAAAGGTACCAGCTAAGCTTTAACGAAATTATAGGATCACGCACCTTTGAGGCCTCTGAAATTGAGAGGCGAAGGTAATTTGTAAGCAGTGAATACGCCTCCGAAATCAACTGCATGTCGCCATATTCTATTCCATTGTGAACCATTTTAACGAAGTGACCGGCTCCACCGCTTCCTGCCTATAGAAATGGAAAAGTAAACAAGGTCTTATATTTGACACAAAGTGGAAGCGTGGACTTGGTTAAATGATCACAACTTAGTTCAGCAGAAAAACCATCAGCTCCGACCTAAAATCTTAATTATTTGTTTAACAAAAACAGAAGTCAAAATTGAAACAGTACTACTGTTTGATTTGCTTCAATCACCGTTATTACTATAACAGTACATATTGGTTCGGAGTAGGCACCAGTATAGTCTACAGTGAAGTGAATGATTTTTTATAAATTTAAACAATAAGATACAAGAACGACTAAACAGGATGAAAAACTGCGCAGATTCAACTGGTTTCGATATTTAATGGGAAGTCAAGAGTGGGGGCTGGTACATTCCTAACGGGGGAATGAATGCTTACCCAATCGCAACACGGCTCGCCTGTTTCGACCTTTGCCGAAATAGACTGGAATATGTTCTTGATATGGGGCCTGGCGAAAGTTTTAAAAAGTAACAGAAGAACACGAATTAAAAATCAACTTCCCGATTTGCGTATCTCTTTAAGTGGACTTGAAATTAGGATTTGAAGATTTACGGTTCAACTGTTAGTATCAACACTAAACTTGCTCAGGGAAGGCAAAGGCCACCTTTGAATGTATCCGTAAAAAGTAGGTGTATAGATGTTTAAGCATTATGCTAGCCCAAAAATAGACGTTACTTCAATTTCGATGGTGAGTTTAGAATTTTAGCCTTAGTAAGATTGCTGTGGCAAGATGCCTTCGTTTATAGGGCTATTAAGAGAGCAGACGATCAGCGTGACAAGGCCTTAGTTTTTATAGGAATACTTGACATTCGACCTGTGAACGAATATCGATACGTGAAGTGAATTCAAGAAAATCGAATGAACATGTGTTCACTAATGATTGGTAATAATGTACTCGAAATGCAGATCCCTCGATTAACCAAGCACAGCCATGTTGACATACACAAAAGGCTTAACAAGTAAGCTTGCGGCTCAACAAGCAAGCCCCATATAATGAGGTGCTTGTTGGTAGATGCGTTGGACTCACCAGGCTCTGGGATTCCCACCGGGCATAAGACTAGGTCCATGACGCGCGCCCTCTTCTCCGCCGCTGACTCCCGAACCCACAAACAGCAAGCCCTTCGACTCTAAATACTTGCATCTACGATCGGTATCCGTAAAAGCGGAGTTCCCTCCGTCAATGATGATATCACCCGGATCCAGGAGAGGCACCTAAATACAACAATAGCAGCCAAATCACCTAACAAAAAGTAGTAATGTTAATCCGAAATATGTAGTCATGTAAAGAATTACTTTAGAAACCATTTCCGGGGGGAATAAATACAAAGCTACTGGCGACATTTAGCAGATCACCCACCACAAAAAATAGGAGAGAGGAATGACTGATTAAATTATTTCCGGTACACACTGACTTAGGTAAGACCACCGCAGACGCCAAAATCCCTTTAAACGAGAACGCTTGCATTATGTGGATATAGAAGGCTGAATTGCTTGATTTTTTCAATTGGCACTTCAAGCCTAAAGTAAATATCCCTTAAAAGAACGTGAATTAACATTCAGAAAAGTGTGATACAAAACACAAGTCAAATAGACATTCTGACAAACCTCTATTAAATGAGGCTTCAACATCACAGACACGAGTGACTTGACCCTAATTTAGTACAACCAAGCTCGTTACACATTTTTATCCAGAATGAATTTATCATGACCTGCACTATGATTGTGCAAAAATCATGAAGTCACTGAGCGAGAATTCCTGGCGCTTTAAGTGGTTATCAAGACCAATCACCTTTCGGTTGTCACGATTGAAGCAATATTGCATAGGCGTTGAAAAAATAAAATCACAAGTGTTCTATGCTCCAATAACATTAAGTAACATACTTTAAAAAATTATTCACACATTCACATTTTTCGCAAGTGCTTGGACAATTAAGCCTTGCAGTGATCATTACGAAGGTTCGCATAAGTAGCACTGAATTTATTCCAAGGAATAAGAATAAAAAAAATAAAAATGTGGTGTGAAATTCCGGTTAGAAGCCTAAGTGACTTACCAGAGTTTCAATAAAGTCATCAACTGCTTGACCCGCTTTCACAAGTAGCATTACTTTCCGTGGCTTTGCCAAACACTTAACTAATTCGGCAGCGGTTTTAGCACCACATAAGTTTTTTCTTTCTTTTTCTCGGTTTAAGAATTCATCAACCTTAGAAACGGTGCGGTTAAACACACAGACCTAAAAGACATCAGGAATTTCGCCCAACAAAAGCAACGTACTTTAAAGCCATGGTCGAGCATGTTTAACACCAGATTTTGGCCCATTACAGCCAAGCCAATCAGTCCGATATCACATCTAAAAAATAAGTGCACCAAGAAACTCGATAACCAGCATTCACTTGTTTTCCACTCCATGTATGGTTACAGGATTAAAACGTGACGGAATGACAATGACAATGCGCATATACAACCAGATAGAGCAGTAATTGTTTTGTATTTGAGATAAGTCAAATGTCTATAACGTTTTACTGATGAGCAATAAGCCAAAGACAAAAAGCACAAATTATAGGACATGAATAATGGCAAAACGTAAAAGTCGGACTCAGCACAGCAAAGGAACATGTGTGGGGGGTGGGTAAAAGAAATAAAAGGATTTGTACAAATCAAAGATTTGCACACAAAAGTAGAAGAAAAATAACATTTTATGGACAGTGAATACCTCATACTTATTCGGATAATTAAATAACAGGGCATTTTACTAACCGACTATTGTCTACTTGAGCTTTAAATCGAGTAGTACAAATAATGTCATCATTAGGGTCTCAAGACGCCATCACATTGGAAAAATCCAGCAGCTTAGAGTTAAAAATAACACTATCAACAGAATTAAGCTACTGCGGTCAATTGGTTAAAGCGCACATGGAAGAAGATTACGTACCCGGAGCACGACATTTCCGACAAGATCTAGACAAACTGAACACGGTTCGACAAGTACATATCAATTATAACAAACGTTGGCTTTATTTGTTTAAATAATTGAGACACAATCTAGCATGCATTAATCGACTAAACAGAAAACCTAACTGAAATACTAAAACATTTCAATTCTAACGGTATCTGTTGCGCTAACGTACGACCTAGTGAAAAGGGGAGACCAGGTGAGGGGCATGAGGGCATTCGAATACAAGCGAAGGAAGAAGACAGCTGTATTTTTAATAAGGTTCATTCGGGGTGCAAAATAAGATGCAAGAAGGGAGAATAGTCGGTGAAAGGGCTTCAGGGTTCACAAATTTTTGGCTAAATCCACGAGCAAACGGCTGGGCAGGACTATAAAGGTACATAAATGAAGAGAGGTTACCAAACGTACGGCATCTTTTATGGTGTGATAAGTAAAATTCATCCCACCTGTCAACTATAACATCGAAAGCAAGGATTTTGCAAATGTTTTGTAGCATTCACTTTCACCATTCACTGTCTAATTATTAATGCGTAAAGTAGTTATGAAAAATTTTACAGTTTTTTCTCCAGCTATTTTTCCCTCTATGCCCTGCATTCATCAGTAGCATATATTAAATGGAAAGGCAACTTATTACTCGGATTAACAATTACATCTACCAAATCGAACCTGTTCAGTTTCATCCTTGGTTCCACTTAAAAGACAACGTTACCACTAACATGCCATCGTTAAGCCCTAGATTCTTAGGCGACCGTGCCAGATTTATCATTTCATTACTGGACACCTGAAGTTATATGTAGCCTTCCGGCCAGAATCCTTAAAGGTATTTCCTTTCTCTTAATTAGGGAGAGGCTTGTAGTGGGCCCCGGTGCGGTTTTAGAAACCACACCATGGCCGACAATTTACGTTGACACGGCCCGATCGAAAGTATAGTAGAACTGCAGATAAACAGTTGCTCAACCAATTTATTAAAGCAGTAGCGGAGTGTGCTGGTTTACAGGATAGCAGATGTGTTTATATACCTTTGCTAAGCCTTAATCTCTGAACTCAGCTAGTTGCGTGGAGTTCATTCACGAATAATCGAATGAACTGTGTTTGCTTGTACTTGCACACTGCGTTTGCTCGCGATTGATAACCGTGCTCGCCACAGGCTTTACACCCTCTGCCGCTTGCAACTACCCCAGCTGAGCTCGGAATTCAGATTCTCTGGATCGAGATAGATTCCAAAAGTGCATATTCACCCTTCCTCTAAATACCCAAATCACAATTAACCCTTCCCTCCCCGAACACGCTAGTGCTCACAAATTCCCTAAATTTTTTCTTCCACTTTCTTTCACAAACAAAAACTAAAACTGATTCATGTCGCTTAGAAATAAACCAGTGACCCTCGCGACGCAGGGAGATAAGACCTACTTTGTCAGTCAAGCGACTCTCTTCACCTACGACGTCGATCCTGCGCAGTATGGCTACTGAAAACTAGTTGAGGGCACCTGCGTGTTGGCTTTAACCACGCCCAGGGCCATTGCTTTGAATCTAGATCGGTTAAGTTATCGCGAAGTACCCCCATAGATAAAAAAGACAGGCCTTCATAAAAACCGAAAATACCTTTATATTTCGTTACACTTAGTAATCAATCGCAACTACATCAAGTTTGTAATAAATACCTGCTCACTTTTTTTGATCCGTCATTTCTAAGACCCGCCAATATCTTAATAAATAGAAAAAATGAACAGATAAGTGAAGTATAAGCGTTATGTTAGGCAATGTGCTTTAAAAATAGACCAGACAGACAATTAGCGTTGAGCGCTAGGCATGTAAGAAATAATGCAAACACAATTTCAGGTAGGGTATCGATTGAGTTCCGAGCATCTACTGGGTAAATTTTAAGCGGTTCCAGGAAAATTATAAACAAAGCTGCAGATATATCAATACCCATATGGCAAATAGTACAAAACTATTCTCATTCATTTACACTTTAAGCAGGAAGTGAATTAATAAATACGGACGCTGGTGTGAAAAAATGCTAGTTTTACTCCAGTTCAAGTGAGCAGCAACCTGATCGGTAAACTTTGCTTTGCCGTTCTTGAACGAAAATGCCATTAACATGACAAGTGTCTAATTTTCTATCCTTAAAACACGAAAAAGGCTTTCATTGATTCTATAAGACATGGATTCATCTGCGGTACTCGTTAAAATGTCAAGTTGCTAAGGATCGCCATTCGTCAAGTATTTGTTCAAAAATTTGGATGCAGAGAACTGTATCAAATCACACTACACTTTTAAATTGGCATCTTGGCTGCATAAAAAAATCGCCAAAAAACTTACATAGGTAAACGTGTCTGCCCTTCTAAAATTCATATACCAGCACATGATTTCAATATGTACCATAGTGAGGAATTGACTGTCGAGAATCTTAAAACAAATAAACATTTCTCTAAGGCTATGCCCACAGGAGCTTAGGATTTCAGTTCAAAAGATGTAAAGAGTTAGTCAATGCTAAATTGTCTAGGGAAATTGGACAAATCTGATGTCATTTCAAATGCATTTGCACACGCCAAATTCTTCGACCCTAAAGTATCCATTAAGGGGCGTGATTAGCATAACTCGACCGTTGATGCTCTTGACACGCTATAACCAACACATTCTGAGGCAAGTCAGCAGACACACAAAGGCGATCATAAAACAGTAACAACAGAAGACGATAAATGGGAACAAATTTATAAAAATAACAATGACTATATACTGCGTGAGCTGACTAAATCCCAAAGTTAGTCAAAGAAGTAAGAAGACATTGAGAGAATATCAATATTTACACCAAGCACTTTGAATACTAATGTATATTCTTTAAGAAACAGATGCACTATACTGGTTTACGAATGAGCCTTAACCTCAGCCGCTCTACTCAGTACTCCTCTATTCTCTCCCACTACTAGCAATTTGTTCATTTAATGAGCTTTGCTACTGAAGACACCTTTTGATCTTGTCAACAGTCTCCAGAAATTAGTATCAACCTAAATGCTGTAAAAGTGTACTGTTGCCAGTTTATTGTTACATAGATTTTTCGATTCCATGTTTGCATTATCGCAAGCCATGTTTCCTCATTATTTAATAGGTAATTCAGCGCGATTGTTTCGGTCATGAGCTTAAAGACTTTATTCTTCAACATACTTTACACAGAGTAAGTGCTAATTAATACATAGTCCTTGTTTTGTATTCATTAATGCTTTATATTTAAAATTGGTATGTAGACTAATAAGTAGGAGTCATTTTTTTCGAGTGCATTGGGCAAGAAATCCCGAATACACTTGTTTCGAGTAATTTAAATTTGGCAACCGTTTGACTTCATATAAGTTGTATTATAGTACTAACGTTCTTTTTAAAAAAATTAAAACAAATATGCATCTAAAAAAGCTATACATCGTATAAGTAACATTCGTTTGTACGTACCATTGTAATTAATTTGTGTGCGCCCTCTTGTGCGCAAAGTTTATGGTTTTGTAAGTGGTCTAAATTTATTGTGGCATTTGTCTTTTAGATGTCAACGCCTAATTGTCTATTTTTATGAAATGAATGAAAAAGTAGTACTGTTGTTTATTCTTGGAATGGGTGCAGTTCGGCTTTGTGAGTAATGGAAATTGCGTGTGTTATGGTTTAGATGAAGATTATGTGGACGAAGTTGACCGAGACGATGACGAGGAGGAAGATCGGTTTAAAAAGCGCAAAATTAGTCGTCGTGATGTAGACAATGAGCCTGTTCCTCCTTACAATACGTTTGAAACTGTTGTTGAAGTTCAGCTTAACAATTTTTCACCTAAATTAATGTCAACCTGCTCAGGCATTGGGCCAGAAAATTGCACGTGCAGGTTCGTATTTTATTATATAATTTTTTAGCCGCTTATTTTGCTATGGAGGAAGTTGTCAAAAGCTGGAAAAATTCCATCAAGAATCAAAACGCGACCCACGTTTATGTCACTTTTTAGAGTTTTCTTCATTTGGGTTGCCAATTTGGGTAAAGATTTGCAGACAAACAGTACTTTGGGGACAAAATTTATGTGAGTGTCGTCGGTACTTATCGGATTTTGATTCTGTGAGAAATGTCACGCCTAATTTCGTCAATGGTGAAACTTTCCTACCTTGACATTTTCTCGCTTCGTTTATATTATCGGATGAGCCACTGTTAACCAGCTAGTCAAAGAAATTTTATTACAGATGTTAATTCACTGCTAACCTACATTTTTGTTGTTTATGAACTAATGCCTATTCAATATAACCATTTGTTCGAACAATTAACTTCCTGAATTGTCAGCAGTTATTATCTGACTATACTCGAAGCATAAGTTGATTGTATTTTATACAAAATTAGTCTTTCCAATTGCGTTGCTTCTCAATCATGCCGCATAAAATTTAACTAGCTTTATGCTTCTTTAAAGGTTTTTTTTTCAAAAAGTGGATAGTTTCC